AACTGTCTAATTTGCACATATTTTGTTATAAACAAAGTTTATTATTTATGCATTAAATACACTGTATATTTTACCCTATGCTATTGCATTTTTTCAATGAATAAATTTGTTTACGTATATATTTCAACACTCTGAATATGAATGTATTTAGTTATAATTATTACAATTATTTAAATAATTTTTGTTTAAACAAAAAAAAATTATTTGGATATGAATTTTTTTGTTAAATACAGATAAAATTAAGAAAAAATAGTACTTTAAAATTGTAATTTAAAAAAAAATACTTAATTGCAAATTGATAAATGTAATCTAATTGTTAAAAAATAAAAAAAAGAGTGTTAACTTTAAAAATTTACTGTGGCTGTCCTAATCAATTGATTTAAATTTTTCAAAAAACCATTTGAAAGGATGAGCGGTCTTTTCTATGCGAAAAAATTTTCAAGTATCTAGACGCTTGATTTGAGGCTGTGCAACATTTTGAAAATTCGAAAATTTTTTTCAAAAAATTATTTTGCGAAAACTATATAACCGATTTTAATAAAATTTGGTATTTGGTGTGTTGTTTTAATATACCCTAAAGTTTTTTTTTATCAAAATTAGAATGCCCTCGGAGCAATTAAAATATTTTTAAAAAATTATCCAATAAACTTGATTATTTTTCCTTTTTTTCATCAATTATTGCTATTTTGCAACATCAGTAATAAATTTAAACATTTTTAACTTGCAGTATATTGTGCAAAATTCAATACTAAAACTTTTTTCCTGTTCAATATTCTTCCACAATGCATAGGTTTCAAGATATAAGTACTAGACTCGGATAAAATAGATATTTTTTTTTATTTTTTAAACATTTTTGCAATTTTGAAAATGTTCCGGACCTCGCCCAGATTTAGGGATCTACACTATTATTATGGGAGTTGTATTGAAGTTAATCCAGAAAAAAATTGCTTGCCCCTTCTCACATACACCTCAAGACAGATCCGCCCACCCTGGTCTATGAGAACAAGATTGTAAATGTCTTGGCGTTATTGGTCATTTGCTAGAACCAGCTACAAATGCGCACATTTAATCTTATTGTAGCTGACCACGAACTCTTTATACTTAAGTATACTTAGTTAAATCATCATCTACTAAATTCCAAATTTCCCATTCGGCGTTGACAATATCGTCCTCGATAGGATTGTAACTGTCTTTTGGTGGTGCTTTTTGATCCAGTGTAACACAAACCTTGCTGCACTTTTCGAACAGAAGCTGAAGCCAACAATCCATTGCATATTCTATTTTATTTAGATAGAAGCCATATACCTTAAAATAAAACACCTTTAGAGGTGTTTTATTTTAAGTACAATTCTTTTGCAGGTATTTGGACCTTCAAAGGATGTTTTGAAAGAATTAAATTAAAATAATATGTTATCATTTGTATCTCTAATTGAATTGCGTATCACAAAATAATAAATTGGTTCTCAGTTTTTTAAATAGCGCATTAAAAGCATTAAACTTCATTTACATAACCAACATCATTTGCTATAATCATTGTCATTTTATTTTGTCAACATTTGTCAGTATTTTGCATCGTAAGTATTTGCCAGTTCCGCTATTAATTCTGCACAAAAACTATTTGCTTCAATCATAAACAAAGAGAAAAATAACTAATAACCTCATAGACCGCAAATGGAACTTTTTCTTCAATACGTGTACACATAGTTATTTTAAGATCAGCAAGCAAAACACAATTAGATGACATTTGCAATATTTATTATTGATATCAAAATTATAATAATCCTCGAACGGATAATTTGAGCAGACAGGCTTTAGATTATAGTTTTGTATTCTCAGAGTACTATGCCATTTCCAAGGTCGTTCGAGTAAAGCAGTTTGGCAAGATGCCGACATCAACAGGTCTTGGACGACCTCCAGGGTCTTTTTGATCTAATGCTACTTGATTTGTGCCAAGAGTTCACTTGGACAGAGAGATTACATCTAGGTAGGATTGGGGCCAATTTACTTGGATCAAAATCGTGCGCTGATAAGGTTTAAAATAGCACACAAAAATAATGACAAAAAAACTATTAAATATATTGTTTAAGACATAAGAAAATACAATTATAAAGAATATGGCATTTTTTTAATATTTCAAGGAGTATATTTCAAAAATTCAATCATATCCCCGCCTAAATATCCTTTTTATATATTTTTAATTTACTTAAAACGCGCATGTCAGAATAAAATAAACTCTTCACACAAATTATTGTCAGATTCCTCGAAGATTGAGACGTAACATTTAAAATAAGTGTGGATGAGACAGAATTTATACATAGATTATTATGGTCGTTCCGACGTAGATATAGTTCGGAAGTACCAAGTGATTTTTTTATGTTCAGAAATCTAAAAAAATTATTTATGGAAAATAGCGACCAAATGGGAGCGCTTTACAAATACAACAGCTCGTCTCACCTAAAGAAAAACGTTAACATATGATGGTGACTATTAAGAAAAATAAATTGATATGTAATTATAAAAACAATATTTTCCCAATTGGATAAATAAACTCCTGGAAAAAAATTAAAAATTAAGGCACTACTTTAATAAACTAATAAATGAAATGAAAATTAAGCTAAATTATAAAGAAAACTTACAAATATGAGTTTATACAATCATTTGAGAAAGATTCTACCAAACATGAACCTATTTTTAAAATCATTAAACACTTTTTTGTTGAAAATTAATTAGATGTGCAAATGTAATAGAAATAAAAACATTTAAGAAATCGAAACCAATAGGTAGAAATAATGGATCCAATGTGATGTTAGTACCTTGTAGGTCCTCCTCTGCCCCTAATTATTGCATTCATACGTCTTGACGTGCTAGCAATTAAATTTTTAATGATATTCTGAGGAATATTCTCCCATTCTTCAGTCACAGCAACCACCAGTTGATTGTGGTTGACAGGTGGAAGTTTACGACCTCGGACCTTCTTTTTAGGATGGTCCTATAAATACTCAATAGTGTTGAGGTCGGGACCGTAAGGTAGCCATTCCGTTAATGGAATATTAACAGCATGCAGGTGGTCAATAACCTGTCCAGCCATGTGGGGACGTGCATTCTCTTGCATGAAAAAAAATTAGGACCCACAAAAGAACAAATGACATTACGTGCTCTAGTACGATGTTTTCCAGGTAATAATTCGCACGTACAGAGATCAACTCTGTACGAGCGTCGAAGCAGATGCCCTCACTCCTCCATAACATTACAGAGTCACCACCAAACGGGACCTTTAGAGAAATGTTGCAACTTGCAAATCTCTCTTCTTCCCTTCGCCAGACACGCTCACTTCGATCGGGTGATTTTAAGCTAATCCTCGTTTCATCAGGGAATAAAACCTTCTTCCTATCATTAACAAACCAATATTGATGATGTCTGGCAAAATGCAATTTTTGAGTTCTGTGCTTTCTGGTAGATGCGTAATGTTTTTTTGTCAGTATCATGCTCTTTAATTTGCCTTAACTTAAACGTCTTCTAATTGTGACAGACGATATTTTGACATTATGAACCGCTAATAACTCGTTTTTTAACACATTACTAGTAGGCTATTGAATATAGGATTTTATAAGGAACTATGACGTTCAAGATATTTTATTACACGAATCATTCGAATGGTCATTTTAGATGTAAAAAACGCGGAGTGCTATTAAATTAGAGGGTGGAAATTGGAGATAGAGGTGAAAATGCACCCTTTTCAGTTTTTTAATTGTAGCTCGAAAACGAAGCAAAATTTCGCTATAGTTCACAAGAAAAATTATTTAGAGAATTGAATTTCCCATCGAAATAGCTTATTTAAAAAATTTAAAAATTTATGGAAAAAAATCGTTAATAAATAATTTGAAAAAAAGCAAAAAATTCGATTTTCTGATTTTTTTTTTTTACTTTTTTACCTCTAGTTTTTTTTTTAGTAAGGATAGGTATAGGCATTGCTTCATAAAAAAACGTACATAAATTTTCCTTCAAAACAAGAGCTTGTAAAGACTTTTGAAAGAAATTTGACTGATATATGGCCGCTCAAACTTAGCCAATTTTTCCGATGTTCGTCGCGTTTACCCTTTAACTTTGTCGTAAGTAATTAAAAAAAAAAACAGTATGTGCTTGAAACGTCAAAGGAGGTCCAAAGCCTACTTGTAAACCAGTTAGTAGATTGAAAGTTATCACTATCTCTGAATGTTTCTAAAATATGTTAGTGGTGCGTTAATTTTGTCCACCTAAATACTGAATAACTCTCGTTTATCTTGGCCCAGTACACGAATCAAATTTTCAATTTACTTTGTTTTTAAAACCTCTTCCTGCAAAGTTTGTTGAAATGAGATACCTCGCTTGGTTACACTGACGACGAATTAGGTATAAGTTTTCAACGCCTCTTCACTAAGTGTATGTAAATTTATTTATGGAATTTTTAAAATAAATATATATATGTATAGGAATTTATAAAATCAATCCAAAATAATATGTATTTAGCTGAGAGTATCCACTACGGAATTACGGCTCAAATTATAATTCGTCGCAATTTATGAGGGGCTTTATAATACACATTTAAGTTTAAAACCATGAATACATGGCTAACAAAATATGCAAAAAAACTGAAACAAATTATTACTATAACAACTAATAACAATATATTATTGTAAATTTCCTGTTGTTGCAGATACAAGAGAGACTGGTTTCGTGAATGCGATTATAGCTGCCGGGATAACCTTCCAGGTTACAAGGGCGTGCACGAAAGGAGAGCAGATTGGTTGTTCCTGTGATAAAAGAAAAAAGAGAAAGCAGAAGAAAAAAGGCCCACCACTACCAGAAGGCGAATGGGAATGGGATGGTTGCGGCGAAAATATAGAATTCGGTATCAAGAAATCGAAGGACTTCTTAGATACGAGATATAAGAAGAGAAGTGATATGAAAACCTTAGTGAAATTACATAATTATGTTGCCGGAAGGCTGGTAAGTATCCTTAATTGATTTTATATTAATTTTTAAGATTTGATAATTGCAAACATGTACCGAATTATGGTGGGCACAAAGTCATAGATATTTTTAGCTCGATTTGCAGACTTTCGTTCCGATCTGTTGCTATATTGTCTATTTGGTCTTCTTGGTCGAATGAGAGTTTCTTCATCTCAAGAAATCTAAACCAACGACGTGGAAACCAAAACGGAGGTTATTTAATTATGAAAAGATTCTTTGATTTTGATATATTACAAAAACTTTTTCTCTTTTTTGTTCATTCAATTTTGTTTTGGCACCATTTAGGCCTATTATGATTAATTTTAATGATATTTATTTGTTCAGTTTACCATAAATAAAGAATTTTTAAAGTGAATAAAATAAAATTTCTACGATCGGGTGCCCACCTTAACGGAAACACTCTGTAAATATTATATTTTGCTCAAATGGCAGATATACTCACCAGAAGTATAGTCTAAACTCTACAGGGTGTTCCACCTAAGAGGGATTCTTCTGTAACTCTGCAATTGTAAAATTTATAAAAAAAATTTGGTTTTAATAAAAGTTGCCTGGGCCTTTATTCTTGAATTATATGGAGTAGAAGGAACTCATTAATCGGTATTATTGAATGGTGTACTATGGAGTAATGATAGAAGAATTGTTTCCTATTTCTTCTACTGATATTTTCGGGGGAACAGGCAGGGATCATTAAACATAACCCTATATTTTTTACATGTTTCACAAATTACGAATTCCGCAATCTGTCTGTCATATCTCTAGTTACTGCTTGTAAATAAAAAATATGCAAAATTATATCCAACCGAATATTATAACTCTCTAGCCTTATTATAGCTTCAATTGATCTGAAAAGTACATATATGTAATGTCGAATATTTTAACCAGTCTTCACAATAATGATTTTTTTTAATTTTCAACACACAATAAAATCTTCGGTCACATATTTAATATTTATTTATAATTATTTTTAAAATATAGAAACGAATCATTCACCCATGAACAATGTAGAACTTAACCTCTGCTTGACTGGATCAGCTGTTAGCTTGCGCACGCGCAATTGATTTTGTTCCATTTGTTCCAAGGTGACATTGGGATACAATATTCATACCATTGTGAGTCTACAGGCATACTATAAAGATTTAATTTTCAGACTAATTATGACAAAATCGGATACCGATATCTTTTTATATAACATCTGTAAGTGTAATGCGTCAGTTAAAACTTACACAAATATTGCAACTTCACAAAGACCTCACACATCAATGTCGTGGTATATTCTAAAGTTCTAACAAGCATCAGTTCACAATACCTACCAACCTAGCAATATGAAATAATTATTTTGAATATGATCCACCCATCGCAGATATATGTAACTGCTATGCATTGTAGCTTAAGACTCACTGATTATACGTGATTTTTTTGGTTAGTGTATCTCGAGAAATAGCCACAAAAAAACACCCTTCATTTTTTCAATTTTTTTTTCTCACTCACATAGTTGAAAAACTATGAAGAAAATATTTAATATAATTCTTATCAGTAGCTTTCATATGCCGTTGGATTTATTCAAATATCTATCATAGTTTTATAGAAAAATGATTTTGAAGTTAAGGGTTGCAACCCCATTTTTTAAAAATGAGCAAAGATAGAGCTCTGATAATTGGTCAAAAGTTATTTCTATCAATAAGCAACACTGAAGACACCATTGTTAAAAAACACGCCTGTGCAGATTTCACGTGGAAACCCGGTGAGAGCCATTAGAAGTTCCTTTTGTTTTTAGAACTTACTGAATTTAGCTTCGGTTTTATATTGATTTCCATTTTCTTTCCTTCTTAGACTTCACCTGACACTGACAATCGAATAACAATAATAAGTAGCACTTATTTCATGACTAGCTCATCACTAGTTTTCATTCTACCGCCTATTTACTGCTTTCTGATTGGTCGGTACATTGGACAACATTGTTCCTCGTTCTTCACTTTCATGGCTCGATCCTCTTGTGTCGAGAATACAGTATGAATTTTGTGATAGAACAGTAGTAGAGCGAAATGAGGGAATGTTCCCCAGGGAGCATTCTGTTCTCTCACCGTCAAGAATTGAGCTCCTGGAATCATGTGGGTAATGTAAAGAAAATATTTTTAGCTTTACAGGGTGTTCCATTTCGCGTGGGCGCTACATAACTTTGTTATTTTAAATGGAACACCTTGTATATTATTGCATTTTTGAATTCCTTGATTCAGCTCTCTAAATGAGGCTAGATAGCGTCTAAACCGTAATAGTTAAAAACCAGCATTTTTTCAAAAACAATTGATTATCTCAAAAACGGTATGTTTTAAACACAATGTACATTTAATAAACTCTACCTAATAATAACCAGGGAATTCAAAATGCAATAATATACAGGGTATATTTTCTTTACATGGCCCACATGATTCCAGACAACTTTTTATGAAAACTATTTTTTTATAATAAATTTTACAGTTACAGAGTTATAGAAGAATCCCTCTTAGGTGGAAGACCTTGTATAAAATAAGAATTAATAGTATTTTCCTTTGATTATGATTGATCATTAAGAAAATCATTATCTATTAGGAGTGAAAAGTTAAACAAGCAAAAATTAATAAGTAGTTCAAAAGAAATGTATACAGTGCCTTCATAAATGATTACGAGCCACGTGACCAGTAATTGTGTTTGGAACGGTAATTTTATTTTCTTCATGTTGGCAAATAAATTTCGGAAAAATTAAAACAATAAGATCAAGATTACACAATATTCTGTTTCATCGGCTGTGATTGGTGGATTGTAAACGAGATTCTATTCAATCTCGAGCGAAGACTTAACGATTTGTCATTGTTCATTGGAAACGAATCATAAATATTGGTAACGTTAAGATTTAGGGATTTCATCGTGCATTGCTGGGTTGCCTAAGCTCGGTGGTCACGTGGCTTGTAAACATTTATGAAGGTTCTGTATTGTGGGTACGTACTAGAAAATTTCGTTAAGATTACGGCATAGACTTTATCTTTCTTTGTGTTAGTTATTCAATAAGACAATCTATTGCTCTGGATTACAAGATAATCAATAATTAATCTTATGGAAGTACCTACGCAAAAAAATTGTTCTTTTAGACAGAAACCATAACTCTTATTGTTAACTAATTATTTATTGCCAATGTCAATTGTTGATTTTATTCCGCTGTTTATATGATGTTTATTTATTTATTTATTTATTTATCGTGGTTCACCTAAAAGCGTTTCTTATTTTATAAGATGAAGAAATGTTTGGTTGTTTTACAACTCTCAGGTCAAAGTCCAGAAATGTATTATTTCTTGCAATGTATTTCCCTCTTAGTAGTAGTACTTAGTGTCTGAAAATACAAAGCAAAGATAAGTAACAATAGTTACAAAAAAAACTTGTACTAGATAGAAAACTTGCAATATAGGTGTAAAAAGTACCAGAAATAATTTTTCAGTTGTTTAAGTTTCTTTATAGAAATTTTACATTAAGTATCGAAAAAATATACATGGTGATAGCTATGTCAAAATTTCAATTTTTCATTTTATATGTGACTGATTGAAATGATGATGCGGTATATTTGTAAAAGCATCGATGAAGCAAAGATCTAAATTTTCTTGTTTTCTAGATGCAAGATATTGAGGCTATAAGCTTTATTCGAGTATCTCTGAGGATGTTTGACTTATGTAAAACTTGGGTCAATCACATAATTAATTAGAAGCAAAAACGTATTTTATTCCATTATTAGTTTCAGCATATTTTACTATATTTTAAAGGTATCCAGCTAATTCAAATAAATTCAAAATTTTTTTCTAAAAAATCTTATAAAATTAAGTCAATGTCCTTGGATACTAGAAATATAGGTATTCAAAAATACAGATAAGATTCCTAAATATTGACATTGCGGGAAATAACTTCTCTATGCCTCAACTAAAGTTGAATTATTATATAAGCAAAATCTACCGAATATGATAAATAATTATCCAGAAAAAAATATCTATAAATATAATAATTAATAAAAAAACACATACCTGACATTTGATATTGTTAAATAAAATATATCTTGTATGTTTGTTGTTCTAATATCACCCTTGATAAAGCCCAAGAGGTAACAAATACCTACAGTTTCCAAATTTTACTTAATACCTATTGTTTCTTCAAGAAGTCTCGTTCCGAATGAAATTAAGAAAACTATAAATAAATTACAAAACATTTAGAAAAAATGACATTTAAATTGTTTATTTAACATGAACTATTTGCCCTTTTCACAAAATTTCTTTTTTTTAAGACATTTTGTCTCTCATTTTTACGTTATATTAAAGATATTAAACTAATTCAAATAAATTTAAGAAATATTTCCTAAAAATTTGTTGATATTGCGGGGAACACTCTATGGGCCATATACTACAACTAGCACTGAATTACACCAGAAATATCTAGTAAACAACTAGCAGTAAAAAAATTATCCAAAATAAAAACTAAAAAGATGTGACTAAATATAATTAATATAAAAGCACATACCTGACACTGAAATTGTAAAATTATGTAATCATTCAAAGAAATATATTGTATTTCTGTTTAAAGAGATTTTTTAGAAAGAATTTTTTGACTTCATTTGAATTAGCTTACGCATTTATAATAGAGTAAAAAGGCAAATAGGTACATATTTACTTAATTGATAAGCAAATATGTTAATAGTGGCGGAGATATTAGGAGGCATTGCAACTAAAATCATCACAAGTTCTACGCCATTCGTCAGAAAAATATGTATGTCGCTGTATACGAAAAAGGAGGTGTTTTGAGTTAGAATTGATTTAAATATTTAAATTTAAAATAAGCTTATCCACTATTGTATAAATTTTGAATATATCTATGTAAAGTATTCTTGCGTCCAAAAAAAAAATGTGAAGGTTATTCAGTTTATCTTAAAAATCCCAAAAAATTATTAGCCTAAAATTTTACAAATTTTATTCGTGGCACCAGATTGAGTATTTGTTTAATGCTTTTTTTGGACTCAGACTCAGAAGTTTAGATGAGGTTTTGGGGTGATTTCAGATTTATTTAATTATGTAACTTTTTGTTTATCACTAAAAACTAAAAGCACAAAATCCTCATGGCGCTAAAATTATGAGGTTTTTAGTGACAGTGCCCCTTACTATCTCCGCCACTGGTTAACAGATTTGTTAATGATTGGCCCGAGATTCATCAATTTAAGTCAAACATCCTCAGAGATATTCGGATGAATCTGGTATTTTTTTAAACTTCAACACCCCGCGTCATAAAAATCAGTGATTTCAGACCCTTGAGTCCTTAAGACCTGTTGATATAAAATAATCCAATGAATAACCTGAAATTATGAGATGAACGTGACATCCTGTCACTCACAATTTGCAAATATACAGTGTGATTCATTTGTTTTTAAACCAGCCTATTTATTGTGCGATTTTAACCGCATTTTTTAAGATGTAGAAGCTTGATGAAGTGCGCTATGTGAAGGAAAATTCCAAAGCGTACTACGTCCGTTTTTAGGAGTAAAATTCTAATATTTCATACTTATTAGGGATTTTTGAAGAAAAATATATTTATGCCACTGAATTCACGACCCTCAAAACTGATCAATACCTAATTCACAAGACTTTACTTTTTTTTCAGTAATTTATTGTTGATATCAAGTTGTCCATGAAGCAAAACAAAAACAAAAAAATTGAATTAATTGAACTGTAGTAGTGTGTTATTATAGTAATTATTATTAATAATCTTAGTTTTGACAAATTTAAAAATAAAATAATGAAACTGAAACTAACAAAAGTTAGGTAAAAAACTATATTCTTGTCACTTCCATCTCTCCATCATTTACTTCTATGCAGTTCTCAATTCTTTTACGTACGTTCGTAATTACTTTTTGTATGTGGTTTGTGGTAATTTCTGCACAGGCATTATCCTATCACGTAGTTCGTGTACAGTTTGTGGCCTTCATTTATAAACTTTTTGTTTCAAGAAAAATATCTAATGGAGTCAAGTCCGGAGATCTCGGCGGCCACTCAGTTAAAGAACTATTTCGACCTATCCAACAATACTCAAAATGTTCGTTTAACTATTCTCTCACCGCAGCAGCGTTACGAATAGGGCTGCCATCTAATTGAAACTTCAAATTAAGAAGATTTCTTAAAGACAAATCATCTAATGTGTTCCGAAATTCATTATTAAGAAAATTTAAAAATCTATTCGCATTCAAATTGCCGTTAAAAAAGAAAGGGGCAATTATTCTATTATTTAGTATTCCACACTAAACGTTGACTTTTTCCGAATACTGCCTCTTTGTGTTTATAATGAATTCTGGATTCTCAGCTGACCAATGACGACAATTTTGGAACGAAACTACCTCATTTGTACTAAATGTGGCCTCATCACTAAATAAATTTTCACTTAAAAAATTAAAATCATTTAAATATTCTCCCTGTAGCTAATAACAAGTCCAAACGTCTTTCTTGATCTCCCAACGTACACTGTAAGAAAAATTGGACTTATTTTCACTCAATTTCACTCGGTAAGTAATATATCAATTTCTGTCCACCAGATTGAGTGAAAATTCCCTCGATTAGTATGAGTAGGTACAACTAAAATTTTATGAGTAAAACTATCAGTTTTAGTTCAAATATTATCAAAAATAATGTGTAAAATTATCAATATGCCCGTTATTGACTGAAAATGTACTCAATAATTTCACTTAGCTTTCACTCAGACCGATTTATTTACAAATATGGACAAATTTTGGTTTAAAAGCTTTTATTTTATTTTTTGCCAGGCACCTTCTGATATTTTCTCTATGGATATTAAGATCTAGCCACTCTAAAATATTAGCCCGGGGATTATTATTAAAATATTGTAAAATTTGGTTATTATTTCTCTTAATGATATATTTTCAATGGTTAATAACACAAGATTACTACACACTAATTTGTCACATTTGACAATTAGCTAACTACCTCATTTTTTGTTTTGCTTCATGGACAACTTGATGTCAATAATAAATTAATGAAAAGAAAGTAGACTTTTTTATTTGGCAACAAAATCGTTATTGTTTAAATTTCTTTGATAAAATTTGGCATTGGTCCATTTTGGGTGGTCGTGAATGCAGTGGCGTAAATATATTTTTTCTCAAAAAATCCCTAGTATGAAATATTTGGAATTTTACTCCTAAAAATACGCCTTGGATTTTGTGGGATCACGATCACGGTCATTTTTCCTCACAAACTTCATCAAACTACATCTTCAAAAAAAATCCGGTTAAAACCCATAATAAATAAAGATTTTAGAGGGTCCCTTAAGATCAAATGGGTCACACTGTATGGAAGTTTATTAATTTAAATATTCTCAAATGGTACTTAATTTTTTCAACTAGATTTGTAGTTTTGTTTTAGTCTATTTACAAATATTAAAATAGATTGTTCCGACTATTGTTTCATATTAAATTATTATTGGAACTGTTTACCAGGTATCTTAGATACTACTTCATCATCATGTTTAGATAATTAATTTAATTATTGGTATTTTTTTCTCTAATATGCAAATTCAAATATTTTTGGTTATTATTCAAAATAATTTTCAAAACTATTCAGATTAAACATAACCTACAAAATGAAAAAAATTAGAGTAGTATAAATGGATAAAAACATTGGCCGATGTCGCAAAAAAAATTAAAAGTCTGGAAACTTACACAATATTTCAGATATAAAATTCGAGTAGAATAAATTGGATAAATGAAGTTAATTTTGTAACAGTTGATAGTAGTAGATACAGACTTTTCTTTCTGTAAGTATTATTTTGTAAAATCTGCTTTTACCCATCAGTTGATAATTACATTAAATTACACTTATTTAAGAAGTAATTTTCTGTTATAAGAGAAGCAAAATGCCATGGCCATAGAAACTCACTATTATTACAAAGTAGAATTCGATAATGCGCCTTTTTTGCCTAATGACAGTAACCACGATATATAATATAAATAGATCTTTTTATTATATTTAATTGCTTTAAGTGCCTTTACCCGCCAGTCTAAAACTTATTGTCTGGTAAATAACATTTCTTTGTTCCAGGCAATTAAAAACCACATGCGCACAGAATGTAAATGTCATGGTCTATCGGGTTCATGCACCCTGAAGACCTGCACGCGGAAAATGCCACCATTTAGAGAAGTGGGCAATCGTTTGAAAGAGCGCTTCGACGGGGCGGCCAAGGTAATAGCTGGCAACGACGGTCAAAGCTTCATGCCAGAAGGAGAGACCATCAAGCCTCCTGGGAAGGTGGATCTGGTGTACTCCGAGGAATCTCCTTCGTTCTGCTTGCCAAACAGCACTCTGGGATCGTTTGGGACCCAGGGAAGGATATGTAACGACACATCTCAAGGAGAAGAAGGCTGTGGAATTCTCTGCTGCGGGAGGGGGTTCGATACGCAATACAAAGAAGTGCAGACTAGTTGTAATTGTACTTTTATATACTGCTGTGAAGTTAAGTGTAAAACTTGTAACATAAATACGCGGATTAGTACTTGTTTGTGATTTTACAGTTTAGACTATCGATTTAGTGGACAATATAGTGATAAACTAGTAGTATTTCTAACCAACTGTAACTTTTTTAAACAGATTTTTTATTTTCATATTCAGCTACTTCTATTTACTGCTTTTAATCTTAATTGCGGAGGATGTCTAAGGAGTTAATTTTTACGGTGTATACGTTTATTTTCTTATATCTTATACTAATTAACTGGAAAATGTATACGCTTTATTTGAACAAAAAAAAAATAATACGAATAATTTATATTTCAATTTACTATATCCAAATGTAAATATATGTTCAACCAGAAACTTAGAAAAATAACAAAGTAAAAAATCTCTTAGCAGCTACACATGTAAATAGTCACGATTTATCTGTGCGAATTCATCTGACATGTGGATGAAAAATCATTTGACTGCACAGATATTTGTATACTGCCAGCCATGTACGTAACAATAAATCGTAAAGGCCAAACTGTGCTGATTTATCTGGCGAGTAACTGGGAAATTGTTTGATTTACATAAACATTTGTGTCGCGTAAATGGAATAGATTGTAGCGATTTTTAACTCCACAGTTAAGTTGTTACGATTCTTGGTTACATGTATAGCTAGCATAATACCGTTTTATCTGCCCAGATCCAACTGTGCAGATTTAAATGAGAATTCATTTGGTTTGCACAGACATATATATCGTGTAAATGAAACAAATCGTACTGATTTTTAACTCCACAGTTAAATCGTCACGATTTATCGTTCCGTGTGATTTATAAATCTTTGCAATTTATCTGCGTAATCCGAACTGTGCAGATTTATTATACATGTAAATGGAAAACCATGTGGCACGTATATCTGTGTCATGTGAATGGAACAGATTATAGCGACTGCACAGTTAAATCATTACGATTTTTCGTTACATGTAGAGCTATCACAATAATGATTTATCTATGCAGATCAAATAAGCAAATTTATCTGACATACCTATAGATGAGAATTCATTTGATTTACACAATCATTTATACCGTGTGAATGAAACAAATCGTACTGATTTTTAACTGCACAGTTAAATCATCACGATTTATAGTTTTGTATGAGTTACGATTTATCTGCTTAATTTGAACTGTGCATATTTATTTGACGTGTGGATGGGAAACCATCACACGTCAAATATGTTCGTCACACGTTTACTGAGATATTTTGTGCCGTGGCTAACTCAGCTACATTTGAAGCGATAAATCGCAACGATTTATCTGCACGAACTAAACTGTGTGTTTTTATTTAATTGGAAAACGTTTGGTTTTGACTGTAATTTTTGGCGTGTAGAAAATTATAGTACTGATTTGTCGTTACGTGTGCGTAGCCGACATACACGATAAACTGTGGCGAGTTTTAAATTCACAGTTAAATCGATACGATTTATCACAACGTGTGTAGCTAGCAATATTTTATAAAAATTGGTTACTTGATAACATTTTTTTGTTCTATTGTCTCAAAGAAATACACTTTTATTTACATAATAAATAGAAATGATGAACAAAATGTTATTATCTTCTTCAAACATTAATTCTCTTTAAAAAAGTCTTAGCTTTAAAATGACTTAAGTTGTTACATACCACACCAAACAGATCACCCTGAAACTATCCTTAGATTGTAAAATAGGTAACAGAAAAGTTTATATTAATTCTATTTATAAATTTCTAAAAATTCAAGAAAATGTTTAAAATTTTCATCTTTAGAAGCCTCATAAAAAGTAAAGGTAACGCGAATTTCTGGCAGAACATCTGATTTTAAAACTCCATATTTAACGTAGATTTATATTTCTTTCATATCTTATATATTCAAAATGTAAACCTAATGTAGAGATATTTGGATAAGAATTGGTTGGATAGATTTACATATTTTAAGAAAATGAGCTATTGCGTTTGTTAATATAAACTTTTGTGTACTAGTGCTGTATTTTATATGGAATTGTATTGTAACTACGTTTGTTAAAATTTGAAAGGTAAATGAAATATACCTGCATTGCAGCAAAAAACATTATTGTTAACGTGAATCCGCGGTTAGGAATCTTACTAGCGTCTTGCAGAGATAAACATTTTTCGCTTATCGGTATTTAAAACTTTTGTATATAATTGTTGATTAATATAAATATATATATTTTTGCAGAATTTATTATGCAACACCTAGTTATTTATATAAAGTTGTCAACGATTATTTGTTTACTAATAAAAGCTTGTACATACTATCAAGGAGTCATTAATTCGTTTCTTTATTAGCCTTCTGTTTTTCAATGTTTACCAAGTGTTTGGATTGAGCAAATCCAGAGATTGGAAGGTAAGTATAATTGAGTCCACTATAAAATTAAATTATAAGATGACTGACAGTTACCTAACTGGCTAAGAATGGTTCCGGCGACGAGTCGCAGAACAGGTTCAATTGTAGTACAGGCGCTAATCAAAATGATTTTGTTAATTGAAGAGCTTTGAGCCGAATTCTAAATGATTGCCATATTGTTTTAAAAAACTTGATGCGTTATATACATTTTGTCATTCAGAAAAATAATAATTTTACTGATTATTAATTATGTCTGCAACAAGTGTTTAGATATCTGCTAGATTTATCTGAGGGCATGACAATAAAAAGAAAAAGAATTGCAAATTTATTACTATGACTAACTTTTAATTTAGGTATTTTCTCAATACCTGTTTAATTAACTACATCGAATTCATAAATTGTAGGTATAGCGAATATACTATTACATATAACTTTATAGATATGTATGTAGAAACCAAACACCAAAAAAACGTAGCAATATTGCTTAACAATAAATTTATACAGAGTATAACTGATATATTTGGGCAAACATTAATAATTCAGAAAATAATTAATAAGTTTTGGTAAATATATATTGTGTTTCAAAAATATGATGCTAAATTGAAACACGAGGTGTACTATACATTGCAAAAAAAAATAATTTTAATATAAGTCTTTAGATCATCAATTGCAATGATCTTAAGGAGAAGTAGTATTTTGTCCATGTCCATTTTTATGGAAAAACATCTCATTAGGCCAAAAAAGGAAACATGAAACGTTTATCAGTAATTATGATCTATACTTAGCATATCCTGCAATTCAACGTGAAGACAGTGCATCCTAACGACAGCAGTCATATTTTTGACAGACTTTATAGTCCAGTTGGTAGAGGTTCGGCCTGCGTCAAACCTTGATAACCTGGAAATAACTACACAGTCCTACTTTAAATGATGAGTACAATAACAGGCTAATTTGCTGACAAAGTATCTTATCAGGAAAAAACTTATTAACAATTTAATCGTGAAAATTTTTTTTTAGTAGTTTTCTTTAAATAACTCAGCGGGATGACTTTGTACGAAAAAATGCTTAGGACATGATTTTGTTCGTAATAAAAATAGCTACAAAATGGCGGTGGTCCGATTACGAAATTTGCAAAAACAAAGCCGTGAGATTGAAAAAACGGTATAAAACACCAATTTTTTAAAGTTGCTGTAAAAATGTCAATTATAAACAAAAAGTGATAAAACTTTCGAAAACTATAGTTCAATATATATACAATAATGACGCTAAAGCCGAAAATCAGGAGAGCAAAACTTTTTGTTCTATAAGGTGTTATACATTAATCGGCATCTAAAACCCGAAACTGCCAAATTTGTTCGAAATTTTGCTGACACTTGAAATTTGGTACACACATAGTGTAAATATGCAGAAACCAAAAGCAATTTGCAAAATTCAAGTATCTTCATTTTTGCAGTTTTGGTAAGGTTTTATACGTCACCATAGTTTTATACGTCACCGTTTTTTTTTTTAATTTTTGGACGTATATTTATGTTTGTTTATAAAATATTCCATTACGGTAGATTAGCCAGCAATTACCTACAGTTTAAAAACAAAAATATTTTCATCGTTTAGATCCTAAGCTACTTAACATTTTGCGCCTGTTAGCCATACTCGTACATTATTCAACATATCAACATAAAACAAAAACGTACGTGTGGAGTAAACCATTAACTTTAAGTAAACAATTGTTTAAATTTACTGTTTCATACTTCTAATAGTATACAAGCGCCGAAGAGCGGAGCTCGCGCTCGAAAATGAAAAGTTAAAAGGTTTACCCCACACGTATGATTTTGTTTTATGTTGTTATGTTGAATAATGTACACTACGGCTAACAGGCGCAAAATTTTAAGTAGCATAGGATCTAAACGATGAAAATTATTATTTTTTTAATTGTAGTTAATTGTGCTAGTTAATCTACCGTGATGGAATATTTTATAAATATACATATATATTTTTCCAAAAATTAAAAAAAATGGTGACGTATAAAACTAGGGTGACGTATAAAACCTTACCAAAGCTGCAAAAATGAAGATAATTGAATTTTGCAAATTGCTTTTGGTTTCTGCATATTTACACTATGTGTAAGTATACCAAATTTCAAGTGTCAGCAAAATTTCAAACAAATTTGGCAAAGTTTCGAGTTTCAGATGCCGATGAATGTATAACACCTTATAGAACAAAAAGTTTTGCTCTCCTGATTTTCGGCTTTAGCGTCATTATTGTATATATATTGAACTATAGTTTTCGAAAGTTTTATCACTTTTTGCTTATAATTGACATTTTTACAGTAACTTTAGAAATTGACGTTTTATACACTTTTTTCAATCTCACGGCTTTTTTATTGCAAATTTCGTAATCGGACCACCGCCATTTTGTAGCTATTTTTATTTCGAACAAAATCATGTCCTAAGCATTTTTTCGTACAATGTCATCCCGCTGAGTTATTTAAAGAAAACTACAAAAAAAAATTTCCACGATTAAATTGTTAATAACTTTTTTCCTGATAAAATACTTTGTAAGCAAATTAGCCTGTTATTGTACTCATCATTTAAAGTACTCCTGTGTAGTTATTTCCGAGTTATCAAGAAAATGTCACCAACAGTAACTTTTCGGCCTCTGCCGGCTGGACTATTAGTACTCTATCATAATGTTGAGACCAATATGAAGTACTTTGCAAGAGAATAATGCGAATAAATGTCACTAAACACATCTTCGAATCTACGTCCCTGTATTAAAAAAAGACTAAAGTTGCATACTAAATTTGACAGGAATCAGTTTTTTGTTGAATTTTTTTTAACTTTAATATCACATATCTTGAAATCGAATACATTAAAGTTTTTTCAAAAATCAGTTCATTTCATTATGGCATACCTACCTAGTTATCATGTGCATCTGCAAAACTATAAACATTAGCATTTAAAACTGTTGTAAGACTTGTAACGGGGTATGACCATCTGCACAACAAAGGAAAGACGTCGAACTCTATTAAATGTCGCTGCGATGCCAAATGTGTAATTTCAGTTAATATACCAAACATTTAATTCAGTATTCATACATTTAATATACAGTAGGTAATAAATGTAAAGTATTACCGCTACTCACAAAACTAGAATGATTATATTCTATATTCAATTTTAAGAAAGCTATACACGCTATCATTTGGTATGCTGACTTTAAAATGATCTGACAACGTCGTAAGATACTGCCAACATTACAACTTTAACAGTTTGTGCATACTGCATAATATGCTTATGCGAAATAATTTAGAATTTACGGTTTTCTGCTATTGAAATATCTTATATTCCTGTTCAAAAATCAAAAAGTTTATCTGGTTCGTGTAGTATTTTAATATAGCCTTTATTTATTAAATGCCTTTCGGAATAGACTTCTTTAATTCAGGATCCATATAAATCACTAAGACATTAATTAAAAAATCTGAATTGCAGTACAGGTATCTTAATTTTTAAACACAAATAGTTACCACACTTGTGATGGTTGAAAAGCTATTTAAGAGAATTTTGAGGAAATAAAAAACTGCTAATTACTTATTTACATTGGAGTATAATTTTACAAAAAAATGTATGCTTGAGAATATAAAAAACATTATTTAAGTTCTAGTAATCTAATTACAGATATTAATTTGTACAACAATATTTTATTACTAAATCGACCATCAATTAGTATTAGAAAGAAAATTCGAAGGTTAGACTTTTGATTTACAATTTTAATTAAGCTCTATGTTAATACTTAAATTGTCTCCAATCATAATTATTATTAGGTAATCATAATATTTTCGAATATGTAAAAAATTTAAGTTGACACCTGATATACAGGGTGATTCCCAAACGGTAACCAAAAATGAAACCCTATTCTTTGGTGAATTTTAAGGTGTCTTTCCTATAAAGTTTTTTTCTCGTTAAAAAGATACAGTGTGTTAAACAGCAACAAACAAACAAATTTTTTATTTTTTTAAACAATTTAAAAACTAGTAAATGAATTTGAAATTGGGCACACGTATTTATGTAAACATTGTCCAAAATCTGAAGACTTTTCCTAAAATGCTTCAATGGTGTAGATACAGGGTGTGAGCATATTTTTCTAAATAAAATAGTACGCCACTGCTTTACGGTAACAACCATAATATTTTCGGATTCGTCTTTCAATTTTCTACAAATTACTACTCTCTTATGTTTTTCGAAAAAAGCCTCATTTTCGAGTGAAACTTAGAAAACGAACTGAAAACACACTTCAAAATTCGAATAAAATGCCTTTTAAAATTACACAGTAGGCCGCGATAGCAACATTGACATTATAAGCAGTTAGAACAAAGAATAAATTAATAACGGTTTTCTTAAGATTCAAGCAACAATAAATTTCGAACAAATTTTCGTTACTAAAAAGATGTCGCGTCTGTTTTCGTGTAAATTAAGGTATTTTTGAGCATTTTTTTTTACTTTAGTAAATAAAATCATTAAAATAATTACTAGTGTTATTAATTTCTTTATTCGAATAAATAACCGAATTATTAGTCCTGTCATGTCATTTAAGTAAAAGTGTTTTCAGTTGGTTTTTTAGGTTTTACTCGAAAATAGGCCATTTTTCGAAAAACATAAGAGAGTAGTAATTTGTAGAAAACTGAAAGGCGAATACGAAAATATGATTGTTACCGTAAAGCAGTAGTGGAGTATTATTTTATTTAGAAAAATATGCCCCGTATCTCCGCCACTGGACCATGTAAATTTTAGGAAAAGCCCTCAGATTTCGGCCAATGTTACATACATACATTTGCACAATTTCAAATTATTTCACTTGCTACTTTTTAAATTTTTAAAAAAATTAAAAATATTTTTTCTTTTT